CTACTAGGAAACTGAAATAACGACCATTCCCACTCAGTAAATACAAAACAAAAAAATTAAGCACAAGCATTATCATGGTTCATATTATTACAGTTCATATCATATTCTTATTTTGTTGGGTTTTTCTTGCCTTCTTTCACTTGTAGACAAGGTTTGTTGTTTCCAGTTGAATGCCTGTTGTGCTTTCTTGAGTTTTTATATACATTATTTGACCAAAAAAAAAGAAAAAAAAAACGCGAATCCATAAAACACACGACAAAGCCAAAACAGATAAGAATGGCAATCCATCCATCATCAGATTGTACTACATTATTTCTGTAGCTGGGATTCGTAAATTGAAGAAGCTGAGGTGGAGGCAGTTAGTGGCGCTAATCGGATGCTGAAAGAGTAAGGCACAGCAGGCACAAGATATTCGTCATGAACACAAGGAGACCAGCTATCATCTCCGCCTATACCCATGTGCTTGTGATCAAGATGCACCTGGAGATAACATCATCATATTTAAATACTTGATAGATACAGACTTGAGATATGAGCAATTTGTGTTTATTTCCATCAATTGAATGTGCCCCAGTGAAATATTTACTTGACTATGAAGTTGCGCGTGCGATGCACATTTATTGAATTTATTCTTAAAATTCAAAATTTTCCATCAGTTCAATAAAAGAGGAAACACATATATAATAAATTATATATAAGTATTTGCACTAAAACATAATATTTAATGGTATTAATTAAAAGCTATGATTAAATAAAAATAAATGAATAAATTTTTGTTAAAAATCCAAAGATGAAATCAATCGATTTTTCAGTGATTCTTGAACGAAGTCTCATTTCATTTGTTAATTAATGTTGTCTGCATAATTATTTGAAATCATGATCATCGTAGTCATTATTTTTATAGATGTAATTTTTTTATATCTTCCTTTGTTGTCATTGTTGTTTGTAGCAATTAGATTTAATTGTTAATTCAATGTTAATCAACGTTGCCTCTTACTCTTATAATATTATTATAATATTGTTAATAATGGTTATTTTTATTATAATATTGTTAATAATGGTTATTTTTTTTTCTATTATTATTATTTTTTTATTTTTTATTTTTTTGCTTTCAAACAATTTTTGAATGAATATGACATGTAATGCTACAAATAACATTGAAATATTCATTACTTTCTCTTAAAAGATTCTAATGATATCTATTTTGTAACAATTAGATGTATATAATAAATTTATGATGCCGCTTGGTATTTTATTTTAATTTTTATAATAATTTTAATTTATTATTCGTATTAAAATTAAATAAATGGTATATAAATCCAACACATATATGAAAAAATATTTATACTATGTGTATCATTGAAAGGTGAACTTAAAATATATTATTCAGAATCTTCTAAAATTATAATTATCTCAAAAAAAATAATAAAAGCATAAGTAACCTTATTTAACCACAAAGAACAAAAAAACTGTTATTAATTTATTATTTAATTAACTTAATATTATGAGATAAATTGAATAATATGATCTGAAATATTTTTTATAATAAATTAAAAATTGTAAAAATTATTCTATTCTTGGATTATGTATATTTTCACAAAATAATTACTTTAAATTAAAAAAATTATATTAGTTCAAGGAGGATTAGACTTTTGGCTTCTATTATTTTTAAACATATAATACTTGATACTACTATTTTTCAATTTTGTTTTATTTAAAAATAAAAGTTAATAATTGTAATAGTGATAGTGACCTTGAAAATTATTTATAGTGACCCGCATTTTTGGCAATCCAATTTTCTCAAGAAATAACTTTACCTTTAAAAGTCATAGATTGACAAAACAAACTCGTTCCAGGCACTGTTGGTGTCAGTTTTGCTATGAAGCCAACAGTTGGCTCTATAGTGGAGTAAACTTTCTATATGTAACAACTAAACCATATCATATTAATAAAATTATTAGTATTATTTAAGTAATCAGAGAATATTGTACGGTTTACTTGCTGTATATAGAAGGTTGGCTTCATAGCAAAACTGCTATTGGTGTACTAGTAATTCCAGTTAAACACAATGTGGGACCCACAATTGAACGTACCTCGATGTTTTGGCCTCGGACAAGCTCCTCAACATGTGTGGCCCGCTCAAGCTCGGCCGTGCCATAAAAACTGGCATTCATCTGCATAGGTGGCGACCCTCCGTATATGGAAGCAAAAATACCAAACCCATCCTTATCGCGAAACGCAACCCACCTCACATCAGCCCGGCCCGAACACTCGCCCGGAACAATGTACGGCACATGCAAGCCCCCAACATCCTGCCCATACACCCCAACATGTGCAGCAGATTTACGGTCAGGATAGCACTCAAAAGCTCCTCTCCCATACCACTCAATCTGGTCCTTTGATTTTTCCAGCTGGAACTCAATCCCCACACGGGGCAAAGGTGGTAAATTCAGATCAACTGGTTTTACTGCACATTCCAGGATTACGTCCCCAGAGCCGTAAATCGAGTAGGTAAAATCTACCCTCAAGAGAGGGGGATTGTTGTTATCCACGCCAGCTGGCGCACCTATATAGGTGACGTGTAGTTTCATTAGATTGTCCGACGCTGTCAGGACCGTGCAGCTCTCGGTTGTGAAAGCAAGATTGTTCAGTTTTGCTTTATTCCATCTTGAGAGGTAACTTTGGGACTCGCCTCCCTTGTCGTTATCTGTTGGGGCTCTCCAAAAGCATGGCAGTATGCCTTTGCTCATAACTGGGACACCCGACACCTGGTGTTCATTTCGAACCGAAATTACGATATTTTTCAATCAGAATTCCAGACATTGTATGAAATGTCCCAGTTAACCAAACCATGGATACAAAAATTTTCAGAAAAATCTAAGCATTTTTAAATCAACTTTAACTCAACTCCACTATCATCAATATTATCAATATAATTAAATAATACTCCCTCCTATTTTTAATAAGTGTCATTTTGAGAAGTTGCACAGTAATTAAGAATCTTTTTTTTGCCAATAATAACCCTCATTAATGAAGATAGAGATGGATGTTTTGAGAAAAGATGAAAGTGAATATGAAAAGATGTAGTGTATTTATTAGCTAGATGAGGGTAATAATGGAAAAATATGTACAAAAGATCCAAAACGTCATTTATTTGATTAATTGTTGATAAAGTCAAAATGACATTTTAAAAAAATAGGAGTAACTATCAATCAATCCTTTTTACACACCACATCAATTTTAACTCACTATTCATCCACTCACATAATTTTAACCAACCATCACTTCAAAATTCAAATAATCTCTCTCCTACTTTTACATCAAATCAACTTTAATTATTTTATTTTAAATATTATTTTAATATACTTAGTAACAACTAACCATACCACCTTTTTCAAAATTAACCAAACCAAACTAAAAAATCAAAACAAACCCAGAAATTTTTATAACCAAGAGTGAGTAATAATACAAGCGAAACCTGACAACACAAGTTACCTTCCAGCTATCAATAGCTCCAGTTTTTCTGTTAAACTTGATCTCCCACAGGTTCTGGTTCTTAACTTCAATAAAATCATCGGCAATCTCAGTAGCAAAAGCTGCACACTCAGCTTCATTGATCTGAAAACAGAAGTAATTGTCAAACCAATGTTTTAATACTATAAAAATAAACAAACTATCAACATCAAACAAAACACCAACACGATGAATGATTTCAGGCTTGGAGGGCAGCTGGACTTGTGCGGATGAAACTATATGGCCAGCTTCAGCCCACCGAGTTGAACCCAAAAGTTTTACAGTGATTGTCAAAAATATTTCTATTGCATTTGAAGCACAAAACAGCTCATGCCATGGGCCAGCGTCCCATTTGATGTCGTAACTTTTCTGGGGCTCTAAAGATGGTAGGCTAAGGACTGCGGAACCCAGCTCATACCCATCAGCATGCAAAGTCCAGTGGAAAGCTAATCCTTCAGTTGAGCTAAAAAAGTGTGTGTTCGTAATCTACAAAGTAAAGAATTTCAGCTTATGAATTAATAGATTTTGAGTATAAGAAATTTGGAGATTGGTGTTATATTTTGCACATATGAAACAACACCTTAAGTTTTCCTTCTTTCAGAGAGACTTTGATTGGTTGGTATACAAACTTCACCTCTGAGAGTTACGTAAGAACAGAAAGCAGAATTAACTTTTACTAGCACCTGATAATACCCGAGTTGTGATGAAAGATTAGTACAAATTTTACCATGAAGACCAGGATGAGGACTTCGGTCAGGCCATACAAGTCCATTGAGGCAAAAGTTAAGGTCATTAGGGGCATCCCCAAAATCACCTCCATATGCCCAATGCATGGTACCATCTTTTCCCTCCTTCAATAATCCCTGTTTAGAATGGAAAATTCTTTGCTTATCATACAATCACAAAAAAATACAAGGAAATTTTACTAGGGCANGGGATTGGTTCCAATGCATCCACTTATTTAAAGTGTGGACGTGAGACTCATTCCTAGCCACAAGATTTGGTACATACATCATGTGTGACCAAGATTTACTCTTTTCTTTTTATTATTTTAATTATTTAAATATTATTTTGACCCGTTGACTCCGGTCAACATTGACCGTCGACTTCCGGCGAAAATCGTTGACTTCTGACGTTGACTCCGGCGTTGACCGTTGGCAACTAACCTTCCAACTAGGTTAGTTTCTGTAGTTGCAAGGTTAGTTCTCTGTAGTTGCTAGGTTAGTTCTCTATAGTTGCTAGGTTAGTTGTATGTAGTTGCTAGGTTAGTTCTCTGTAGTTGCTAGGTTAGTTCTCTGTAGTTGCTAAGTTAGTTCTTTGTAGTTGCTAGGTTAGTTCTTTGTAGTTGCTAGGTTACTAGTTGCTAGGTTAGTTCTCTGTAGTTGCTAAGTTAGTTCTCTGTAGTTGCTAAGTTAGTTCTCTGTAGTTGCTAAGTTAGTAGTTGCTAGGGTTAGTTCTCTGTAGTTGCTAGGTTGGTTTTCAATAGTTGCTAAGTTAGTTCACTGTAGTTGCTAAGTTAGTAGTTGCTAGGTTAATAGTAGCTAGGTTAGTTATCTGTAGTTACAAGGTTAGTTCTCTGTAGTTGCTAGGTTAGTTGTCTGTAGTTGCTAAGAGCTGGGCGCATTTTAAGAGCTGGGCGCATTTGATCCGCCCCTTATATTTATATAAGTAAAAATGACACCAGCACTAACTGCCAACTGCCAACTGTTCTGACCGTACTCTCTTTTCCAAATTAGACATCTTTAATACTGGACTTGATAATGCAATCTTTTTTATTAATCTATAAGTTTCCCAATTGAAATTTTTATTTGAACCACAAGAGTTTAAAACAATTGAAACTTTCCCCAAATTCGGACCTGATCAACCCAATCCCAAATGAAACCTCCCTGCAGACCAAATGTGTTATCAATCGCTTCCCAATACTTGTGAATATTTCCATTGCTGTTCCCCATTGAATGTGAGTACCTGGCAGCAGTTTTTGAGCAGATCAATTAGGACACACTACGAGATCAATTAGTACTTTTATGGTCGAGAATTGAATAGAATTAACAATAAATTACTCGCATAGTATCAGGGGGCGTAGTTCAGCTGGATCTTCAGCTATCTTGACTATGTCCCAAACACGCATATACATGGGGCATACAATATCTGTTGAAGATGTTCTGGATCCACCGCCTTCATAGTGTATAACCCTAGTTGAATCCTTTTCTCGTATCCAGCCTGCAATAATTTGGAGAAATTACTACATTGCAGCTTCAGTCAACAAATGACCCAGTAATCTATAATTTGGTGTTCGGTCCATGTTGTCCTCATAAAATTACTCTCACAACACTTCTTTACGAGTGCGTATCAGGTGCTATCCTGTCATGCAACTGGAGAAGTATGATTCGCTGTCAAGAAAAGCTGTTAGAGATCAATTGTTATTTAGTATATTTCAATAATTGAGAAAGGTATGGATAATAGATTGCTGTCCACTTTGGCCCTCGAATAAATTTTTCCGGATTAATCAACACTTAGAACTCATTACAATTAACACCAAACATCTTTTGTGATGGAAGACTTTACATACACCACTAGAATTTACTATTCACTAAATTAAGCTTTTAGCGTCTGATAGGATATCAGTCGCATGATCTGCAAAATGCATAAGGTAGCTGAGGTGCACCTAAGCTTTCAGAAATGTATTCCCCCAATATTAAATGCACGACCTCAGGCATCACTTTTCCTCAAAAAATACAACCATGGTTAATAAAAGAAATACCTGCAAGTGCACCATGATTAGGCCCATAACTCGCCTCATTCCCCAAAGACCAAGAAATAACACACGTGTGATTCTTGTCCCTGTCAACCATCCCAATGACCCGATCCAGCATAGCCGAAGCCCAAACTGGCTCACTTGTGGGATGCCTCACGTTTGAGCAAAGATGAAAACCGTGCGTCTCAATATTGGCTTCGTCAATCATGTACATGCCAAACAGGTCACATAACTCGTACCAACGTTGGTGCTGAGGGTAATGGCTGTTCCTGACAGCATTGATATTATGTTGCTTCATTAAAACCAAGTCCTGCACAAATTTGACCAAAATATGAAGAAAAAAAAAAATGTAATCCTCGTAGGGTTGCATCTTAAGAAGATGGTGCAAAAGAGTAATGTAAATAAGTCACCTGAACCATGCAGGACTCCAAGTTTGTCTTACCAAGACGGGGATGGTGCTCGTGCCTGTTCACCCCTCTTATTATCACGGGCTGTCCATTTACGAGCAGTTGCTTAGGGGCTTTTGTTATTTGGCGTATACCAACCTGGCAAGACTCGCAGTCGAGTGTAGTCCCGGATGAGTCTTTAAGGGTGACAACAAGTGTGTAGAGATTTGGCTGTCAAAATATGAACATGTACGATTAAAGATCTAAAAGGATGAAATGTCAAGAATGTGCAGGGACGCAAAGGTCAGCTATGAACAGATTCAAGTAAAGGTCTAGTAACAAAGTTCGGCGATGCTATAATACGCCGGAAATTTATATAATAAGAACAGACATAAACATATGTGTGAAGATGAGGTCAGTATACAACCACANAACTGATATCAAGTTGCAATAGTAGAACCAAACCTTAATACTCATTTCCTGTGGGTTGTTTGTGCTTGCTTGTTTGTAAATTTTTTCCAAAAAAATTCAATCCCAACTCAAATCTAACTCAAATTTAACTCAACTTCACTATCCTCAATATTAACAATATAATTAAATAATATCAACCAATCATCCTTAAACATCACATCAATTTTAATTCACTATTCATTCAATCACATTATTTTAACTACCCATCACTTCCAATAATTTATTTCCTACTTTTACATCAAATCAACTTTAATTATTTTATTTTAAATATTATTTTAATACAAATTCAAAATTCTACTCAAACCTAACCAAACATACTTTTCCAAAATTGACCCTAGTTTAACCAAAAAACCAATCAAAATAATAATAATAATAAAAAAAAACTTATAAACGAGCAAGCCCTAAGTAATAAAATCCAGATCAGAATGCCGATTTACCCGCTCAGCAGACCACAGCTTGGGCATCAGCAGTTTACCCTGAAGCTGATATCCAATGAATCCAAGACAATAATCAACAGATTTCGTAGGCTGTAGACGAATCACGCTTGTGGACAGAAGATTGGCATGCTCATTGCTGGTATGCTGACTCACTGTGTCAAAAATTTCAGCTTCAATGGTGAAGCTTGCTAAGAACTTGTCTACAGCTATTTTAAACCAGCTCCCGCTTTCCACAGAGTTGTCAATGTTCATGGCGGAGAGGTCAATTTTCACCTCAACCTGTGCGCAACATGATAAGTAGAGCAAACTCATATGTTTTCAATTTATTGTTTTCATAATTGGTTAAAGTTTTACATGAAAGGTTTCAACAAAACAAGATACCAGGTCCACATTTTATAACAATCTAATCCTGTCTGCTAAAAATATATTTGATGTCAATAAATCCAATCCTGCAACTACATGTTGGACTGTGGCTCACGGTGCCCGTAGTTTCTCATTGTTCAGGTAAGACATTCTAATAATCATATTTTTTCAAGTTCAACATATTTTTAAATAAAAAATGCATGAGGTAATACAGTAATATTTAAGATGAGAAATGGAAATCCTGTTCTTTTGTGCATGTTGAGGATGTAGACCAAATGGCTTATTCATATTATATCCATGAGACATTGTACACGTCTTTAACTTATTGCAGAGTTCAACATGTAGAGTGCTGCTATAAGAACATAATTACGTTTATCATACCTGTATATCTGCACTTGAAAAATCTTCCGCCAAGCTTGATTTGAAGAAGTAATCTGTGATAAATACCTGCAAATTTATTGTGAACTAGCATCGCATGATCTTGTCTCTAATAAGGACCACAACAATATACAGAGTTATAAATCCAAAAACAGAAAAGAAATATTGCTGATGTATGCTGGCTAATAACGAACTTAAGATTTTAGTTTTACTCCTTAGTAAGTTAAATGCAGAAATCACAACCTTCGAAGAGAAAGCAATAGGTAATAAAATTAATTACAAATCAAAATAAATCCAAGAAAGATTTCACACAAAACCTTGGGTTTAGCAAGAAGAAGAACATCACGGTGGATGCCGGACAACCACCAATGATCCTGATCTTCCAGGTAGGAACCATCAGACCATTTCATTACTTGAACAGCCAGGCAATTGCTCTTGTCCGATCCACATGGGTGGCAAAAATCTGTGATCTCAAATTCAGCTGGCAGTCGGCTATCTTGACTGACAACACAAGAAATAAAAATTTTTTGTAGCGTCAAAATAAATGTTCCCATATCTCAAATTCGGTTGCAGTTGGCTATCTTGACAGACAACACAAGAAATAATTTTTTGTAGTGTTATAATAAAAGTTTCTATGAGAACAGTACATAGACGAATTAATGGGCCATATGATATCTTGAGAAACACCTCAACCGACTGGGCAGTCCTAAAACATTTACGAGGTGCAAACAAAACATAGCATATACATCCAAACACTCAAAGATGGTCAAAGATGGGAGAGTACCAAAAGGTACCTCACCAGAACACTTGCAACTTGAATGACGATTGTCGGCTGATAAGATACACTGTTTCTACAGCTTCTCCCCTAAAATGAGAAGGAACAAAAGAGGCAATTAGAAGGGTTCCAGAAGTTTCAATGAGATGGCGGTGTTTTTGTTCTACAACACCACTCTGAGCATGGGCGCACGTGAGAGCTGAGCAATAGTTCCCTCAGAAGTCAAAATGCGAAAATTGTCATATAAATACTCACCATCAGAATCAGGATGAAAAACCGAATATGAGTAGAAAATTTAGTGTCGCAATGTGAGCGAAAAACTTGTAAATGGAACACAACTGGGAACGATGTTTCATGAAGTAAATCCAACTATATCATGATCATTAATAAAAATTACTTAATACTTATTACCATCCTTTAAAGCAAATGAGTAAGATCAAAATGTCTAGGAGAACGGAAATACCAGTACAATAAGAGAGTTGTAGTTGTTTCCCAATCTTTCAACCCATGCAATGAAATTTGGACTATAGATTAAACAACCTTTACGTCTAATTAACATACACAAAGAGCCACATAGATGACCAAGACTATGATGCCACTTAGCGAAAGATGAAGTGGACGACGATGGAGCGGACGACACACAAGCAGCTAGTGGAAGACGAAAAATGTGAAGTGTCTAAAATGTAGAGGCTAGAAGTACCTCAACGACGATGGTTAACCCCTTCTAAATAACGTAATGAGTCATCAATTCCAACAAAATTTAGGTCAGAAAGAAGATTATTCATGAATGACTTAGTTAGGTATCAAGTATTAAAAAGTGATAATTGCAAAGAGAAAACCCGAATGACTAATATAACAAGATGTACCATCAACTATCTGAATAGAAATAGCATCTTCCAAGCAACCAACTAGGTGTCAAGGTTAGAATAGAAGAGATGTGAAGCACCCGTGTATGAATTGACTCAAATTAGCCTTTAATCCCATGACAAAGCGATATATAGAAAACTTCTCAACGAATTTATGAGTTGGACACACTTCTTTTCTGAGCAGTGAGATACCATTGAGATGAATGGTCTCGTCAAATGATAAAAAACAGAGTAGTACTCATCAATGGACATATCAATTCGTTCAATCACATGAACTTTTTGCATAAGTGAATGTAAAAGTGCACGACTATCCTAAATATAGCGTTGTTGCAAGTAAGACCATGCTGCCTTAGTTGTCCTACAAGAAAAGAAACTCATAACCATAGACTGTGTAAGACTATTGACGATGGTAGTCATCACATTCTCATCCTTAATCCACATAGAAATCCCACTACCAAGAGCGATATTTATAGCTATTATATGGAGTTACAATATGATTAAATGTGTAGAAGCAGAATGAAATGGTGCAGAGCCTTCAAATTGTGATAAAGCAAAGGACAACTCAATGACATGATGCGATGTAAGTGACAAGTGAAGGAATTAGATTCAACGATGGACAACGACAGACATTCCTCCGCGTGTCGCGACATGCGGAGGAATGTGTCGCAATGACTGACATTGCGACAACGAGCAGCGCAGGATCGTGTTGAAATATCACTTGTGAGTTGTCCCACATTTATTCTGTAAAGCAAATGAGCCTAGTATAGAAGTTTGGTGTGCTACTCCTTCCAATACTAATTGACTTTGGGATTGCACGTGAGGTTCCAACGAGCAACGCGATGACTGACATTGCGACGACGAGCAGCGCGAGCGACATGTTGGAATATCACTTTTGAGTTGTCCCAAATTTATTCTATAAAGAAATCTATAGTAATATAAAGAGGTTGTTGGAAAAATACTTTTATAGTAAGTTTGACTAAAAAAATAAATGGTTTGACTTACTATTAGTGGAAATTTCAGAAAAAACACATGTACCAAAAAAATTGAGATTTTTATGGTAACAAATTTGGAAATTTTTATGGTAACAAATTTAATTGAGATATCCCAAAAAATTGGAGATTTTTATGGTAACAAATTTGGAGATTCCTATACCAAAATTTAATTCATTTTAAATATTAATCCATAGGAATCTACTTTTATTAATAACAAATTTGAAGATTGTTATGCCAAAAAATTGAGATTTTAAATTGAGATATTCCAACAATTACGGATTCTTTTCCCATTCAAATTAATGTTGTAAATCAAACAAAAAATTATTCCAAAAATAATGGATGTTATACCAACTATTGATAAACTCCAATTCCATAGGAGATTTCTATGGGATTCTTATGGTAACAAATTGGAGATTCTTACGCCAAAAAATTGAGATTTTGAATTAAGATATCTTAACAATTTCGGATTTTTTCCCTTCAAATTCATGTTGTAAATCAAACAAAAACTTATTCCGAGAATAATGGAAGCTATACTAAATATTGATAAACTCCAATCCATAAGAGATTTTTATGGGTTTCTTATGGTAACAAATTGAAGATTCTTATGGTAACAAATTTGGAGATTCTTATACCAAATTCAATTCATTTTAAAGATTAATCCTATAGGAATCTATTTTTATTGGTAACAAATTTGACGATTCTTATGCCAAAAAATTGAAATTTTGAATTGAAATATCTCAACAATTACGGATTTTTTTTCCATTCAAATTAATATTGTAAATCAAATAAAAAATTATTCCGAGATAATGGATGCTATACTAAATTAATATCACTGGGCACACACATTAAAATGATATTAATTAGATAAATAAATTACATAAATCTTTCCTAACAAAATGCGTTTCAATATTGTTAATCAATTTAATGGGATTTTGTTAACTAATTTGATAGGATTTTGGTAACTACGGGATTTTGTTAGATTTTCATGGAAACACGTATCTTCATTATTGATAAGGTTTGATAAGATTTTGTTTCCAATTTTTTTTGTTTTTTTTTTCTCTCTTGAAAATTTGATAAGGTTTGATAAGATTTTGTTTCCTTTTTTTCTCTCTCGCGAAAATTTGAGTTGTGGATTTGAAAAAAATAAATAAATAAAATAAACATATCATATTGATAAAGTTTTAATGTGGGCATAAAAATCAATTTTAATTTGATTGAACTTTGTTTCATATAAACCTAAGAGAATCAGACGTTTGAAAAAATAAAATGTTAATAGTAAATAATCATACCATATTTGTAAGGTTTGATTTGAAATATTGAGGCATAAAAATCAATTATGATTTGATCACATTTTGTTTTATAGAAGTTATCTTAGAAAATTTTACACGTTTCAAAAAATTAAAGATTATAATTTCATAAATTAAAGTTTTGGATTTGTCCAAATAAATAGGAAAATATCAAAATAAAAATATTATTTTTTAATCTATCAAAAAAGTCTTACCAAATTTCATTGTAACAAACTCCATTATTTTTTGCTACATAATCTTCTAAATATTCATTCGTCCCTCACAAGTGAATCACGTTCCACATTTTTTTTTATTTTTTTAACAAAACCGATAACACATATTTTTAGAAGTCAATCATAATCATAATAAAAAAAAATCGGATCAGATCATATTAAATACCTTACGTAAATATTTTTTTATTTCCCAGACATATGGCACATACACATGACTATATAAACATCACCAACGTTGAACAAAAAGTATTCGACATCCAATATATTCCACAAAACAATTTTTTCTACAAGCTTTTACATCACCATTGAAAATGGTTTCGGATTTTGGAGTAATCAAGGATATCAAAAGATCCAGTAAGCCACCAATCAAGCTACGCATAATTAGGATGTTCCAACGAGTTGAAGACGTACGCAATTACCGAAATGTTCTTGAGATTATCTTTCATGATTTTGAGGTAATATATTCTTTTCGTATTATTTAAATGCATCATTTTATGCAACATCTTTTATAATTTATTTATTTTATTTATTGAATTATTCATTATGCATCATTTTAGGGAGGATGAATTACTGGCATAAATCGACCTGTCAATATCCAAAAAATCATCCAAAAAATCATCGATGATATTGAAGAAAGTGACGCTTATATCTTGACAAGCTATCAAGTGGAAACTGGAAAGCAATATTGGCATCCATAAATCGACGATAGGAAAAAGGAGGATCATTATCAATGGTCAAACCAAGATTATCAAATGGAGGGTGATTTTCCTATTTCTAACTTTAATGGATGTTCGTAACATTGATGAAGTCATGTTGTTTGATACGTTATAATTATTTTGTTTATTTCTTATTTTGATTATTTTTTTAATTTAAACAACAACAACAACAACATAGCCTTTAGTCCCAAGCAAGTCGGGGTAGGCTGGAGATGAAACCAAAGAGAACCATTGGTTGGTAAGAGAAACACAAAAATGGCTTGAAATAAAAGGAAGAGATTGGAGCAAAAGAGAAAGGAGCAAAAGTCACGGTTCTGGCACGTTAATTGCTAGCCTCAAAGCGCTCCTATCCACCGCTAAATCCTTGGAGATATTCTAATCTTTAAGGTCTCTCTTAACCGACTCTTCCCAAGTAAGTTTAGGCCGACCTCTACCTCTCTTTACGTCCCCGAACCGCTGTAGAACTCTCCTACGCACCGGTGCATTAGGAGACCTTCGTTGGACAATTTCTCCTCAATTGGAGTCATCCCGATCCTATCTCGAATATCTTCATTCCGGATTCTATCCCTTCTTGTGTGCCCGCAGAACCAACGCAACATACGCATCTCTGCTACACTTAGTTGTTGGACATGTTGCCTTTTTGTAGACCAACATTCAGCAACGTATAGCATCGCCGGGTGAATCGCCGTCCTATAAAACTTACCTTTTAGCCTTTGTGGTACCCTCTTATCACAGAGAACGCCCGAAGCTTGCCGCCATTTCAACCAACCGGCTGCAATTCTATGCCTAACATTAGCATCAATGCCGCCATCCTTTTGTAGCATTGATCCTAAATACTGAAAAGTCTCCTTCTTGGCCACCACTTGCCCGTCAAGGCTAACGTCACCATCATCATGTGTAGCCATGCTGAAAGCGCACGTCATGTACTCGGTCTTCGTCCTACTAAGCCTTTCGATTTTAACGTGTCCTTCCACAGCTCTAACTTCCTATTTACCCCTGCTCTACTCTCGTCAACTAGCACCACATCATCAGCAAAGAGCATACACAAAGGGATATCACCTTGAATGTCCCTTGTGACCTCATCCATCACCAAGGCAAATAAATAAGGGCTCAATGCTGACCCCTGGTGTAGTCTTATTTTAATTGGAAAGTCGCTGGTATCGCCCCCACATGTTCGGACACACGTCATCGCATCCTTGTACATATTTTTCTAATTTAAAATATGTAATAAATTATTTTATATGTTATACATTTCAATATAATGCATTTTCTTATATTTTTGTAGATGTTATTGGATTGATTGTTTCCCATTATGTTTTCTTACGCCATGACTATAAATAAAAGCCAGGAACAATCATTATCGCATGTGGGATTATTTCTTAAGAAACCAGTGTTTAGTCATGGCCAATTGTATGTTGTCTCTCGTGTCACAAACAGAAATGGGTTTGAAAGTCCTAATTTGTGGTGACGATGACGTTTATTTATTATTAATGGCATGATCTTTCCTTTAGTAAGTACTTTGAATTTTAACTGAACATTGCTTTATAAAAGGGACAGAGATAATAAACCCCCATGCATCGCACGGATACTGTACTAGTTAAGAAAATGACCTAGTACAAAAAGCTTGGTGGGCTACTCATTTCATTAATTATTAATTGACTTTGGGATGGAATCTCACTTAGGTGCACTTAAGTTCATTCCTTATGGTGAGCTTCACACTAGTGGGATGGGACCTCACCCCTTCCCCCAAATCTATAACTCTAACACGGGCAAATGTGGGATCTCATCCCTTCCCTCAAATCTATAACTCTAACACCGCGAATGAGTGACAGAAGAACGGAAGTTGACAAGTATTGGGATGGATTAGATAAACCAACCTTAAGCCTAATATTTGCTCTGAAAAAACAAATCAAGGGCTACAAAACTTCTCGAAATACAAAATCGACAACACGAGAAAAGTTTCCGGCCACACACGCTTGATGTGTGAGTGCAGACAGAGAGTGCATGGTGCAAGTGACTCACATTCGCGGAACGAGATGGTTAACTGGAAGATGATCCGATCCTGGGATGGAGAGGCAATTGGTGCATAAGGTGAGGCCCAGAACTCACCCTATTCTAGATCCATATTACTAACTTGGAGGTTTTAGAAGACTAGTCTCCATTAGTGGAGATAACATATAACCGTATAGTCTTCCATGAGCTATATGGGCTTCCATATATTTGACGCATGAGACTAGCAAGCTTTATGACATTACAACATACAAAAAGGAAAGAACAAAAAGAATGGAAACAAAGTCTAGCAAGTTGCTATCTTTTGGCTGGTTGATTGATTTCCTTTCCTTATGATGTGTAATGATATCAAACATTTTATGACTGCTTTTCATCTGCATATATATAAAAAGGTTAAGTGTTTAATTACAAATAGGCTTAGCATGTGAATTTTTCCATCAAAATATTTTAGATACTAAAAAATGAAATCCCTTAGTTGTCGTTTTTTACTTTTTTTTTCATTTTTTTTTTTCCTTTATAGGATTGTCTATTTTTTCAAGAAAGAAAATCTAATAATTTATCTATTAATTTGTGATTTCACAATTTGTTACTTGAAAAATCTTTATATTATAGGAATAACATCTCCATAAAAATTTATCAAACTTCTTTACAAGCATAAGGAAAATAATTTTCAAAAATCATAATAATGATTTTTACAAGATTACTCAAATTGAATTATAAAGAACTATTTGATAGTGGTGAATTTTGTTTTATTTATTTATCTTAGGTTATGTATTTATGATATTGCTGCAATTTGTTTTAATTATTTTTAATGTAATTTGTTTTTGTCATCTGTTACTTAGTTAAGAATAAAATATTACAAACACATTAATTAATATTAATTAATGAATATTCAAAAGTATCTTAGCTCGGTACTGGTATTTGCATCATCGTGTCAATTGTATATCTATTAGTTAACTTTAAAATTTTAAAAATCATTATATTTGTCTTTTTATAAATATGAATAAAGTAAGAAATAATTCATTTGTCTTTCATTTCATAATTTAGAATTGTAATATACTGTACTTTGTTATAAACATTTAGGGGCGTGTATTTAATTGAGAATTTTAAATATTTATTGGGACTTTAAGAATCTTGGGGTATTTAATTTGGATTTTTTAAGACTTTTCAAAATCATGAGGTATTCATTTGGGGTTTAGAAAGTCTTAACGTATCGCGATTTATCTGGACACTATGATTTACTACGACCTTTTAAGATTTGCTGAAATTTCATAAACAAAAACCTTATACAAAATCTCACTTCAAATCCCACCTCCAGATTCAGGATTTCAAAGGATTCCTATTAAATCTCAAAATCTTAAAAAATCTCAAATCTCGAAAAAATTATAATGTCTCTTAAAATCCCAAAGGGATACACCCTCTTTACTATATGAATTACAATAATTTCATAAAACTAAACATACTTAAAGGAAAAAAAAATGAAATTTCTTTGGGTTAATAGAATTGACTGAATCAGTTATTGTCTAGGTTTGTTGAGTCACTTTCAAGTCATTTATAAAATAGTCCAAAAGAATGACACAACATGGGTTGCGCATCCATTAGTCAATTTGACATGACTAAATCAATTGTTTAAACTAAATATGAATCGCAATATTTGGAATATTTTGTCAGGATAAATAAAATGTAGTCTAATAATCATATCAAGAATGCTTTATAATAAGATGTTCAATAAAACATTTGTATTTATATATGATTATATTAATATTTATTTCAACAAAATGATAATGTATTATAACATTTCTTATCAATTGTTGAAACTGAATATGAATCTCAATATTAGGAACATTTTGTTAACGATAAATAAAATGTAGTCTAATATTCAAATCAAGAATACGTTTGTAATAAGATGTTAAATAAAATGTAGTATTTACATATAATTTTATTAATATTTATTTGAACAAAATGATAATGCATTACAGCTTTTAACAATGTATGATAAACCATGATTCGTGTTATTTATATATATAATTTATGTCATTGACGGATCTAGGAATTTTACTCAGGGGGGCCCGATTTTAAATGTTAAATAATGAGCTTGTAGTTTGAGTCGAAACGCTCATATCATATAAAAATGTATTTACTATAAATATAAATATTGATATATGTACCATCAAGTTTTAAAAACTTAGAATCCGATCACCCTCAAACTTTTTTTTTTAAAACAAAAATAGATTTCAGGTATTTATAATTTAACTTCAACATCTATATATGAAAAAATAAGTTTTTTGGTTGAAAAATTGATTTAAATTGAACTTTTATATTACATTGCATAACATTTTTGTTGATGAGAGCTTATCAAATTATCATATTTTTAAGAAAAAATAATAAGATTAAAAATATGTGATTACACAAAAAGAAAAAAGAGTAAAAAATCAACATTAAAAAATGTAGCAATCCAACTAAATACTCAGTTTATAAATCACTAAATCGATTTATAATTAAGAGACCGAAAGAGTAATTTATTATAAATATTTCCAAAAACTTATCTAGAAATGTACAATATATGAAGTGTTAGTACATTTTTCAATAAATAAATAATATTATTAACTTAAATTAAAATTATATAGAAAATAAGTTTTAATTATTAATATATTATACATATTTTATAGTATTTTATTTATATATATGTGTATAGGGGTTGGTTCAAATAAAAACTAGTCCTAGTGTGAGAACCGTGAGAACCATTTTTTATGAATTTTTAATTGTGTATGATGCTATTTTTCATATTAGATGATGATATCATTTTACAAATGCTAACAGAAATTATGTTGCTATTTTTAATAAAATTCATCCTGGTTAAAAATAGCACCAAATACAATCAATCATAGCACTATGCACAATTAAAAATAGCGGGTCTCACGGTTCTCACACTAAGACTTGGTTCTCATTTAAACCTGTATATATATATATATTGACTTTTAAAAAAAAATTGAGGACCGGGCCTAGTATGGCTCCGTCCCTGTTTTTAATACAACCTTAATATTATTTTCTCATGCATTACACGGACCACATACTAGTATTGTCGAAAGTCGACTCAGTTCCAAACAACAACTAGATTTAGGAGCTTTCCCTGACGTATATGGTTATATACATACATATACATACCATATGATGATTAACGTTTGGAAAAATGAGACATTTATTCAATATGTCCTCTATAATGCTCAGACCTAAAAAAGGGAAGGCATATCATTTGACTTCTTCCAGTCATTTTTAGAACCTAGCTATCTGTCCAATAACACGTTAGTAAGACAAGAATTCCTTGTCAATCAATTCATAAACAGGAGTGTCACAACTTATAATTATCACGAGTCTTAAAATTAGTTTCATTTGTACTCTAGATAAAACCACTTATGGAAGATTTCCAGTACTTCCTGACAGTTACAAAAACATCCCTATTGTCAACCGAATATATCGTGTGTGACATATAAACTAACAGTACAACAAGCACAAATATAGGCAAGTCGTATAATGGAAGAATTTAATGAAATGCATAGAAGTTTTTACAAATGATTGACTAACCTGTATCCAGTGGGGTGTCCATTGACCCATACCAAGAAAGCAGAATCAACTGCTTCAAAATGTAAAAATATCCTTCGATCTGCAATGCAGTTTGACAGTATGGTTGATAACGAATAGAATAACTTGTGAAAAAGCTCATAGGAGTCATCACCTTGAAGGGCCATGATATGAGTAGATACAACAAACAAATACCAATTGTACAATCATATGTACCATATGTACCGATATATCTAATAGTCTAATGTTTTTCATAAACCAATTAACAACTCTAACAAACAACTGATGTATACGAATATTAAAATTCAATATTGTTATTGTAGAGCATCTTACTAAAGCAAATTATAACAATATTAATGCAGTATTTATTATCTTTATCCTCAATCAACTGGATATATGAAACTTTAACAGTTAACAAAGTTAAAACAGATAGTGAACCAAGAAGAAAACATTACAGGCAATACACCCCTCTGCCATCTATTTGAGTCAGACATCAGAATAATTTTATAAAAAGAACTCGTACACTTGATATCTAGCCCAACTTAATTTATCTTTTCATAAACTACCATTCCCCAAAATTCTGTGACGAAAAATTGGCACTGAAACTCCTAGATTAAATGCAGGCTACAGAAATAACAACAAAAAGGTTCATTCACAAATGTAGACTGCATCATTATCATCACCGCCATAATCTACAGCATAGAGAGACCGAAAATAATGTGTATAAAGATTAGAGACCACAAGTTTACAATTTGGAATTTAAAATCTAGAGTGTTTTAGTTCCTAATTGAGCAACAGCTTCTCTGAGAATCTAAAAACATTGACTCAGGTAATCGACTATTCAGCAGGCCCTTCCGATTTCCGAACACCCATCACAAAAACTTAACATAATCTATTGAACATCAAATTGCAGTCGTTGTGTTCAAACAAATTCACCAGATTTGCTACTGCAGCATAAAATCTAAGACATCAATGAGAATAGCATATTCCTGAATAACTTTGTAAACAAATGGGTACAGGCAAATATTTGCTGAAACTATGCGCATAAATTATAATGTTATAATTTAAAAGATAATATTTAAAAGAAAAAAAAAAAAAAAAAAAATATGGATAAGTGTAAGTAGTACAATGGCGTATATGAAGACCATGGTTCTGCTGGAATCTCACCTTCCCATTCTTTTGGAAGGTTAAACAAAGTTCTGTAGCAGCCAGTGGGATTATCTTCTGGAACTTTAGGTGGATTAAGTGGAAATGGGTATACAATATTTGTATATATTGGCCGATCAAGTCCATGCATCTGCCAATTCGAGGGAACTGGATTGATAGAACACAAAAACACGGTTGAGAAATGAGCCACTTCCATAATTTCACTGTGGAACTATTTAATAGATTAACTCAAAACAATATAATATGCAAACTTTTAGAACCTTAAATAGCACTCCTTCCATCCAAATTAGAAATGTGAAATGACAAAAAGTTACTGATGGAAAATTCTAGAGTTTTAAGAAACAAATGTGCATGCTGCTGTTTATCATTTCTAATAAATCTGAGGGGAAAAATTTCTTGGCTACAGCATCCTCAAAGTTGGTGTTTTATGCAACTTTTCATTCAATTAGTATCCTTTATCATCCATAACTAATTTGCTCTCAAACAAATCTGTAACTTGCTCATAAAAGCAACCAGATTATAACAGTACTTGCTGGTAACTGAGAAAGCCAAACATCATCACATGGGATTTGTATACAACTCTCATCTTGATTAAATGTCAGCCAAACAATAGCCCATTTGCTCAAGTGAATCATATATACTTCCTATGAAATTTGGGTAGACTACGTACATTAACTCACTAACTCATTATTATGATAAAATAATTGAAAATCAATAAGGTTAACAACATTTGTATTTAAGAACTCAACAATTTATCCAGGATTCCATAAATAATGCATCACCTTTAATCTTGAAAACAGATTCTAATTATCATGTCTTAGCCTTTAACACACTAAGAACTGCCACTCAAATTGGTCTTAAAGTTGGACAGGATCAAGATTTCAAGAAGGGGCAGAAGAAACAAGTAAATCAAGTGCCACAAGAAACCAAATGGACAATGTTACAACACAAGGTAAAGATATACCGGGTATAGTAGCCCATGAAGAATCTTGAAATGAACTGTCATGGAATTGCGCCGGGACTTTATCGGGGCTGGAGGACAGAAAGAATTTCCAGTGTCCAGACAAAGACTTTACAAAAGGCAAGTCCTTAACCCAATATGCAGCACAATCAAGCGCCTTGGCAATCGCATTATCATCCCAAACAGCTTCTTTCGATACCAAAAGATCAACTTTGTTCCGCTCATACCAATACTTCAGTGATCCTAAGCAGTAGCAGCATTTAAATTTGTGAGAGCACCACATGGTTCAAAAGGAACAAGGGGAAAGGGGAAATTTCATTAATAACAATTTAACAAAGTTTACTCTTCTGCAGTGGAGTTAAAACTGATAAATACATGCACAAAAAATGTTAAATATCAACGTTGTCTTCTATCCACTTCAAATGAAAGAAGTTCAAACTTAGAAACAAAAATGCGCACATGGAGGCAATGGGATAAGTAAATGCATACAGAAAACAAACAGCCAACTGTGAAAGCTGTCACTATGTTTCAATGCCTTGTAAAGTTGAACGCCATTAAGACCAAGTGACCCCAAATTGGAAACAAGAACAATTAGCAAATCGTATATAAATATTCTAATTTAATGGAGTAGGTTAAAGTAATTTTGGAAAGCAAGCCGCGAAAAAAGACAATCAACCTTCAACAGATTCATGGCAGTGCAATGGAACATGAGAATCTCTCTTCCTCCACTTGATAAAAGAAGGATCTTCCCATATCTTGTAGCCATTATTTGGAGGTGAGACAAGTTGAGCAATCAATGAAGCCATGTTCAAATTAAGAAAGTAAACCTGCGCAGTAGAAGATGATAATAAATTACCTAATGATCGCAAAAAGGAAAACAGAACTAATGGATTTATCAAAATCTGGTGGGGATAACTCTGATGATTAAAATACAGGCTGAGGTGAATACATCCAAAAGCGGACGTGCATATTAAAAGGTAGCAGGTTAAGATTAAGTGCATGCTTTGATACAAATTTTTCCAAAAAAATATAAAATAAATAAATAATTATTTTTAACCAATCATTTTTTTAACTAAAATATAACTCAATTACACTTTTCAAAAAAAAAAATCAATTATTTTTTACTCATTTTTAACTCAAAATTTAACTCACATTTAACTCGACATTACTATCCTAAATATTATAAAAATAATTAAATAATACAAATCATTTTTCTCCTACATCACATCGATTTTAATTCACTATCTATCTACTCAAATAGTTTTTACTACATATCACTTTCAATCATCTTTTTCTTATTTTACATCACATCAATTTTAATCATTACATTTTAAATATTATTTAATTACAATATATCTCATCTCACTCAATCACCTTTATCCAAAATAAATCATTTTAACTATGATCCACTCAATCAATTTTTAGGGGTTATGACTTTTTACCAGTTACCCCTAAGGGTATGTTTGGTTCAAGTAAAGGAAAGGGAGGGGAGGAATTTTACTGGAAGGGAGGTGAGGGGAGGGGAGGTGATGTAAAATAATTTTATCTTGTTTGGAGGAATTTTGTAGGAGGTGAGTGGAGGGAAATGGTAAACCTTGATTGGTTAGAAAAATGGAAGGGAAGCAAAATATTATAGAAATGACAGTTATAACCTTAATGATGTAAAAAATAAAAATATAATATAATTTATATAATAAGGTCAAAAAAGTAATTTTGTTGTTAAAAATTTTCCCTCCCCTCCAAATTCTCCCCCACTTCTGGAGGGGAGAGTATAGGGATTTGAAGGGAAAATCATAACAGGAGAAAACGAAAAAGTTCCTTCCCTTCCCTTTCCTTCCCCTCCGTTTCCATCGAACCAAACACTACGTAAATTCCAAAAGCCTTTTTTAACTTCTTGGTCAGTTCCAACTTGTTTTTTTTCCCTTTGTACTACCTAATACGAAATTTCATTTCCACTTACCTCTCTAACAGTAAAAAGTACTTAAATTAATCAAAATATCATACCAACCCTCCACTACCAACTTCTCCATAATTCATTTATATTTTTCTTTGTTTCATCTTCCCCACTTTTGTCTCCCGTCAACCTTTCCCCTTCCCCCTCCCCCCGTCGGTTTCCTTTTTCTTTTCTCTTTTTTTTTTCCAGGTTCTTCGACTACAAGAAGAATTTTGGCAAACGTCTGGACTGAAGAATTACGGCGACAGACTGTCAAAGAACTTCGGCGAAAGATGGGACGAACTCCAACGAAGGATGGAAACCCTCTCCTGTGAAATTTCGGCTTTTTTCCAACGAACTCCTAACTCGCCGTTTTTCGGCAAATAAAGGTGGTCGGTCTCTATATATTTACTGTGGAGTCCGAACTCATCTTTTTATTCCTAATTTTTTTTACTAAAATCTTGTTCTTCATATTTTGTTGAGGAATCAATTTTTTAGTATTGTTTTTCATATTCACACTAAAACAAACTCTTTGTTGTTCATCTCTACCAACTACATATGCTAGGTTATTTTTTTTTTCTCGTACATGATCATTGTACCATTGATGCATGCTTATGGTACATATCTTTTTAGTAGTATAGTACTGTTAGTGTATATTGAAAGTTTGACTTTAAATGTTATTCACACTATTTATATTGAATGAGATTTCATGTTTGATTAAATAAAGTTCTATGTCCTATTGCATTGCATTTAGAAAAATGGTTCATCCCGGATGGACAAAAGATCATTTATTGGTTACTTGCAAAACATAAACAATTAGTTCACAGCGTAGATGGAAATTGAACAAGCCATCAGAACGATTGTAGAGTGGACGATACAGTCGGTCTTGACTGATTAGTTACACTAGTACACACCGGACTATTGACTGGATCCCAGAGAGAAGCAGTTCGTTTTATACTGATCGGCATAAATGAACTAGGTCTCGGTTGATTACTGCGTTCTCTTAACCCGTAAGATATAAGCAGACACATGTATGTAGTAGTTACTGCTTTGAATAAGCAAAATGAGATTTATTGTCATGGACCAATAACTGTTGTTATGGGTGGTGATTCCTACATGACTTAGTGTTCTATTATAATATTTACGGTCGCCGTGTACTTCACAAGGTTTGACGATGTCCCTGAAGTGAGTTCAGAAGTATTATTATGTTAAACCCTACAGGTGGATTAAATTCTGACATAATAATAATGCATTGAACAGTGCTAGCTTCCGTTCAAGAAGTCGATTAATTTCAATATCAGTAATTAAATAAATTGACGAAAATTATATCTTAAACATGGGGAGGTAATTCGAGTAATTTAGAAGCGGAGTTCAAATCGCAATTTGAGAATTAAGTTGGTAGAATCCTTATAATACTAATTTAGTGGAATGACTGTATTATTCATATTTGGCTAAGTAGGCTTGGCCCACAGTTATGCCGAATATGGCATGCCCAATTAAATGTCTCCTTAGGTTCCCAATTGAAGCCTATAAATACACATCTTCTCTAAGCTTCCAAGACATACAACACATAGAGATATCTAGAGTCTCCGTCCCACCAATGGAGTTTTAAAGGTGTTAGGTAATCAATAGAAGGTCTTAAGGTAGTCGAGCACCCAAATCGTTGCCGAGCACCAGACCAACATCGGCCACCCAACACCACCGCAACACACCACTGCCGACCTGCGAGCTCCCAGCGCCCCGTCCCTGACGACTCGCTGCCAGCCCTCGACTTCCTCGCGCCTGGTGACAACTCACTGCTCCTTGTGCCCGACGCCGAGTCCTGAGTGAGTTCCCGTGATGCTTGCAGGACCCATGAGAACCACGTGACCCTCTCGACGCCAGCCGACCTGGGACCATCCCAAGTTGAATGACTGTAATATTTATTCGTCTGGTGGGACACCAAATAGATTTATTCGCTTTCTTAGACAAACATATAAACCCATCTGTGGATCTAGGGTCAAAATTGTAATTTTTGAATTAATTTATTTTGATCGTGATCGTGTGTGGATCATCCAGAAGTTCAAGGATATTGACGGATACTCGATGGCCCGACTGGACTCGAGAACCTGAGGATGTGCGACAGAACCGTGCAAGTGCTTAGAAGCTTACAGCTGAGGTTGCCCAGACGTGAGGCTCGCAACAGCCTGAATGCGCAAGATACTCACGGAGCTTTGAGACTCGGCAAATGCGCTCGAGATCAGGGAGGCATGCAAACAACAGGTCGCGCTCAGCGTGGTAATGACCCGGCAAGCATGTTGACCTCCCAGTGCGCACCAGAGCATGGCGCGACTTCAGGTTACGTGTGTGATACAGCAGGCGGCGGAGACTCGACAGACGCCACGGTCGGTCGCACAGTAAATGCACAGGTGCTAGACCGTGCACGTGAGATGTCCGGGCGACGTCATGACGTGGCTCGGCTGTACAATCGCGGTCAGTCGAGAAATTTTTTTCGGTGACTTTTACAGCGGCGACCAGTTGACAGCGGCAGCTTCTCGGCGACAGCAATTGGAGACTTGTCAGACAAGGCGACAATCTTGGACAAGAATCTTGCTGCAGTGAGAGTTCTATATGAATTAGGAAAATCAATAGATTTGATCTGATTTTTTTCCTTATCCACTAGGATTCTTTAATTAATGGCCATAGTAGTGGATTTAATTTCCATGTGTTTTATTATGTCCATATGCATGCTAATTAATTTATTTCTTTAATGCATGTGATTAATTATAAAATGCATAATTAAAAATCTTCATTAAATTACTAAGTTGAGAAGGAAATTTTAAAACTAAAGTAAATTTTAAAAGAATCCAAAGGCCTCTATTACCGGTTTGTGGTGATGCAATTAATGGCGAAGTGGACCTCCCTAACGGCGGACACTGTCAAAATTAATTGTAAGATCACTAGAATAAAATTTGAAATGATGATCGTAGGAATTATTGTTGAGCATGTGGACCTCACCAACGGAGGACATTCAATCAAATAATAATTACCTTAGGATCAGGTAATGTTTTCACTTAGAATGTAATAAAAGAATTCCTCCCAAACGGAATCGATCGACTTTTTTTATGTGGCCTAAAGAAAATCGACTTTTAATTTTATTTTCCATGAATTGGGCTTGGCTTATAAAAGTTAATGGGTATTTGAAACACCCTTCTCTTACAAAGGTTGAGCGAGCGTAGAGTTGCCCAACGCGGAATGCGCGAACTCTCGATGTTGTGAGATGTCGGTGAATTTAAGTTAATGTTATTTTGAGGATATCAATATTAACAAGTTAAATTCAATTGTTTAATCAGAAATTTTTTCATGATTCTCAGGTTATATTCAACATTTGTTTCAACCCGTTGTCTGTGATTCTAAAAGAAAATAAATTTACTGGTCCTAATTACACTGATTGGGAAAAGAACTTAGACATAGTGTTGTCAGCAGCGGGGTACAAATTCGGGCTCACTTAGGACTGTCTGGATGCCTAGATGATAACGCCCCAGATCATGAGAAAGAGACGTATCAGAAGTGGATCAAGTGTGATGAGATGGCCCACTGCTACATATTGTCCTCTATGACCAATGTGTTGCAGCACCAACATTAGTCAATGGTTTCTACTTATGAGATGCTTATAAATCTCAAGGATCTTTTCGTCCATCAGTTTAGGGCAGCCCGACAGCAGGCTATGAAAATTTTTTGTCGACTTCCATGTCAGAGGGCACTCCCGTGAAGGATCATGTCCTTAGGCTAATGGAGCAGTTCAATGAATTGGAGGTCATAGGAGGACAAATCGATGGGGAAATCCAGGTCAATATTATCCTCAACTCGCTGCCTAAGAGTTTCAACTAATTTCGCCTGAACTACAACATGAATAAGATGTTGCTATCATTGGTGGAACTTCTCGGGGAACTCCAAGCAGCGAGGGAATTTTTCGTTAAAATTCTTAAGTGTTTATGGTTAAGTAAACTGGGTCCTTCGACTTGTAGGCCAAAAAGGTTCAAGAAGAAAAGGTGGTCCGCTAAGTAGGCTGGGAAGGCGCCAATGCCCGTTGTCGCTCTATAGAATGGACCATCGGGAGTGAAGAAGCCAAAGGGAAATGCCACCGCTGCGGGAAGTCAGGGCAGTAGAAGGCCAACTGCCCAAAGAAGGGCAAGGAAGTTAATTCATATTCTTTTGTGGTATAAACACGTTTAGCAGTTGTGTCTGCCAATACCTGGTGTGTAGACACTATAGCTACTGATCATGTCTGAAATTTCTTTCAGGGTTTCTAAGAAACGACATAAGGAAAGGGAGATTACCGTCTACATGGCCGATGCTATGAAAGTGGCAGCAGTTGCAGTGGGGGTTGTTACTTTAGTTTTTTCCACTAATAATCTAGTTTTGTGTCAATGCTTATTTGTTCCTTCGTTTAAAAGGAATCTTACTTCAGTTTTCTAAACTCGTTATGGATGGTTTTTCATTTACGTTTAATGACAAGGTTGTTATTCGTTATGCAAAGTGTTTTATATGTGCTGGTTCATTAGTAGGCAATTTGTATGTTCTTAAACCAAACACTCCCACAATGCAATAAAAAATAAAATAAAATGAACAATGAAAAAAATAAAAATCTAACTAACACATTGACTAAATTAATTAAGAGAAAGGAACCTTTGATAATGAACGAAGCATATCTATGGCACCTTAGACTTGGACACATCGACCTTAGTAGGATTCAAAAGCTTCATACCATACCTGCGAGTCTTGCTTAGAAGGTAAGATGGCTAACCGGCCGTTTACAGCCAACGGGAATAGGTGCGAGAGTGTGCTATAACTGATTCATTTCGACTTATGTGGCCCTATGTCGATCCAGGCTAGAGGAGGTTTCGAGTACTTTGTCACCTTCATTGATGATTACTCGAGATATGAGTACATTTACCTAATGCACCGCAAGTTTGAATGCTTCGACAAATTCAAGGAGTATCGAACAGTTGTGGAGAAGCAACATGGTAAAAGTATCAAGTCAATTCGATCTGATCAAGGAGGCGAATTCCTCTTAGAAGAGTTTAGGACATATTCTTCGGAGGCTGGGACTGAATCCCAACTCTCTGCACCAAGCACGCCTCAGCAGAATGGGGTAGCAGAACAAAGAAATAGAACTCTTATGGAAATGGTTAGTGTTTGGGCTACTGTAAAAATTCGACTTTCAGTTTCTAACAATAACATTTCACATTGTAGATAATATGGTTCCGTGCGTGATCAAATAATTTAATAATGTTTGCATGAAGTTGTCACCTTTTTATAATAATATCTACAATCTCATTGTTGTATTATGTTCGAACTTATGTGTAATTAGTTTAAAATAAGTACTTTCATGTAATGTGTGATGATGGGGGAGGGATAGTCTGGACGAAGCACTATCAGCATGCTCAACCTTGTAGAGCCTAAACTCCCAAGAACGTACTGCAGTGGTTGGATGGATCATAGGGGGAGGGATAGTCTGGATGAAGCCCAGCTCACGCAAAAACCGCGAAGGCAAGTACGGCTCCACAATCGCGGTACCTAAGGCATCCGCAATAAATGGTCCTAGGCTATCTCGTATTTGGGTTGTGGTCGTATGTCAACCACTCCACTTGTTGACAATTGCATAAAAATATTTATTAATATAATTCTATTATTTGAAATAACTTTTAACTAAAATTAAATAAAATAACTTAACGTACATCGACAGCGGTGAGAGTGTCAATGTGCCGACGGAGAGAGGTGAGACGATGTTCTGTCCTCTCCATCACCCCTACGCTCCACGAGTAAGGTCGTGCGACGCAGTCAGGACCGATGGCCAGACGCTCATACATCTAGAACAAACAAGGTGGTAGCTAGCAACACCCACACGCAGTCAGGACCGATGGCCAGACGCTCATATATCTAGGACAAATAAGGTGGTAGCTAGAAACACCCACACCCAGGCATTAGCCTCAACCTCAAGCAATCGGGCTTTCCCCTGAAATGCTTCCAAAATGACGGTAACTGTCACTGCACCATGCTGCCAGAACGACTGCATCAGCTCATTATTCGTCACCTACAGCATCTCCATGCAGTACGCCTGGCAAGAGTTAGTGTCGGGGTCCTGTGTAACTCTCTCCCTCCACATGAACCCCCAAAATGGCACGAGCGTTGAGCAGCATGATACACATTTCATGGTAAAACGAGTTAGTATCCGGTTGCCAGTGCTCCACAAATGCAGAAATAAGTGGGGTGTCCACGTGAGTATGCATGGAGTCCACCAGATGTGACAGCCCAGTCCGAACTATCAGAGCGCGTGGAGCGGGAGCCATACCAGAGAGCAAAGTCCTCAACTTCTCATGCGCTCCATGTCTGTTCTGGCATTTCAGCACGTCTCTGAACTCTTCCGTCCACATACGAGAGGCTACGTGTCCTAGGAAGTTAGGGATAACACTCCCATCAAGAGGGCCACCGGGCATTAGGCCTGTAACGACCCAAAAATCCTCAGGTGCACTCCTAGATCGTTTGTTAGTACCTACATTAAAATAGAACATATATATATATACGACATATTGTGATTGACTGTATCAATAATATGCTATTATTAAATAAAAAAATTTTAATGATAAACAACAATAAGTACGTAAATTATTTACATGAGGATCCAGTGGTCGCACAACGGCACTGAACATGTGGAGGAGCAGGTCGTGCAGGTCGTGAAGGAATCTGTCGTGGGAGAGGAGGAAGAATGTCCTCCTCATATACAGGGTCAAAGTCCTCAAAACTCATATGAGAACTACAACTCCTTTCGGTCAACTTTAGTATGTATCCTGCTACTGGAAGCGGGACCGCTAATCAGTCTGTACTGGAGTGAGGCGTCTCGAACTGTCAGTCTGGTCAGCGTGACCAGTCTGTCTCATGCGAATTAGACGCAGCATCTCCTCTCTCTCCCGACGAGCAGAAGCAACTACATATCGACTCTTCGTGTGTCAGGGTCCAGAAGCATAAAACTCGACAGTCTCTGCATCGGTGGCCAATTGCATAGGTCTACCACCGGTCTAAATCAAGAATTTAAACTAATAATTAGTAAACAACCTTTTTAAATTCATAAATTTTATTAATTATTATAAAATAGTTATAATTAATTATCGCTAAGTAATCATAAGTAATATTTTAAATTATTATTATTTTCTAAAATACATTATTAAATATTACAAGTAATTATTTTTCTAAAAAGAATTAAAAAATCAAATTAATAATTATTCGTAACCACTTAATTAATATAATTTCACTTTAAGATTATATAATCATACAAACTAATTAACTAAAAAAGATATACATTTTTTTCAACTTATATTAGAATACTAATTAAAATTTTCGAAGCTAATAATTACTCAACAAACTATTTTATGACATATATTACAACTAATTCGTTTTCTAAAACTACTAAAGTTATATGCATTGTCTCACTATTAAGCATGTATAACAACAACATTATTGTAAAATGTTGAACAAGTACATATAATTGTGTTTTCGTTCACGGCCGTCAAAGTCGTCGCCTGTGCATTGCCGGCCACCGGGGTCGGCCGATTAGGGTGCGGCCGGCCATTGGAGGCCGGCCGCACGCTCGATTGAAGTAGCTCGCGCCAACGGCCGCGATCGGCTGCCGTCCACAACGTCGGCGGCTGGTCAGGCTGAAACTTAAAAAACAAAAAATCAAATTTTTTTGGCGAGGATGTTCCATTTTTTCGGAATTTTTTTGGAGGTGCGACGAGGCAACAAGAAGAAATGGGCAAAGAGAGTAAGAGAGGAACAGAATTTTTTTTCAGAACTTAAAAGGGCAACAATGTCCCGAGAGGACTGTAAGTAGTAATAGAGAGGTGAAAAGTTAAAAATCCATTCAAGTCAACAGCACCTACCCAAGAAAAAACACTAGCGAAACATTCATAGACCAGATTCATTAAATACGGTAAACAAAGGGCCTGTCTGTGATGCAGTCACATGAAATTCCTGTCCTCATCTACGCATCTGATGATCGCGAATCCACATAATTCAACCTCTGTTACTAGCTTAACGAATATGTACATGAGCTTCAGAAAGAAAACCAACATGATGGCCGCCAATAGTACAAACTCGCATTGCCCACCATTCATGCCCAGCGCTTAAAGCTACTGTACATCAAAACACGTAACAGAATCTACTTAATAATCAACAGCATTAAATGGCAAATCAGCTGGTTCTGTTTCACTTTTCCAGGCCAAATTCAAAACCATAGAAATTAGTTGTCAGACAGAATATATGTTTTTGCTTAATCTGCTTTTTCCCAACCACCAGTAGCAGCAGCATCTGGGTTAGGAGTCGGTTGATCCTTGTCCCAGCCCAAGTTTCCACCCCAGCCTGAGGAGTTTCCAGTTCCTTTTGGGCTTTCAGCCCAGCCCGGAGTTCTAACTTCATCTGGAGCAGGAGTGTTATCTCTGTTCCAACCACCAGTAGCAGCAGCATCTGGGTTAGGAGTTGTTTGATCCTTTTCCCAGCCCAAGTTTCCAGTCCCTCCAGGGGTTCCACCCCAGCCTGAGGAGTTTCCAGTTCCTTTTGGGCTTTCAGCCCAGCCCGGAGTTCCAACTTCATCTGGAGCAGGAGTATTTGTATTATCTCTGTTCCAGCTAGGAGGGGGCCCACGATCCCGGTTAAACCCGGTACGTGGTGGTAATTTCTTGAAGTATTTAGGAATAAAAGTTTCTGCCTTGTCAGGATACTTCTCCCTGATGAAGCTCTCCAGGCATTTGCGATAGGAGAAGTCTTCTTTGCCACCATCAACAGAAACGACGTAGAAACACCTGCTGTCCTGGAACTCTCCATGACGACTAACCTGTGACGTGAGAACCGATAAAATTAGCTTAGGAAAAACACCACCTAGAATGAAAAACAGAAAAGCAAGAAACACCTGGGTTGAGCATATCTAAGGAACATTTGAAGTTTAAATGAAGGAAAAAAAATTGAAAAATGTTGGACAAAATTATATACAAAGAGAAGAAACAGCTTCATTTGAAATTAATGTGGAAAATAATATTAGCGTTATATACCTACTAGTAAAACAAACCAGTTGATGGAAAATATGATTGAAAAACTTGTGTTCAATGTTAAGTTATTTGGACTGCTGAATAAAAAATTTCCCAAAATCTCTCAAAAATAAAATGCGTGTGTGCATGACAACCTAATTAAATATGTGACTGTGTGAGTGTTCATGACAACCTAATAAATTATGTGGCAAGTGCCAAACGAGCATAGACACATGGCAGGAGAAATCGAGAGTTCAATTTACACAGGTTCTGCAAAAATGACCAAATATACACGATAGGGGCAGCAGTTTCCAAATGTAAGTTAATAAGCCATACCATGATATGATTTACTCCAGCTCCCATCTTTACAGCTTTGTCAGGATGATAATTGAGTACGTTATCAATTATGTATTTCTGATCATCTGCAGATATAGGATCGCCATCATTATACCTGCATGCAAAAGTAAATTTATCAGGCCACATGCTTTGTTTGACAATTAGTAAACCATGCTTTTAGTACACCATGCTTTAAGTAAACAATCTAATCAACTAGAACCGTCCCTGCGTTTCTCTTTCCTCCGTACAGGAAGACAAAAAAAACAAAGGAGGCATCTCTTTGGTGATTGGGGGTAGTTTTCAGGAAAGGTTGGCAAAAGAGAATTTTGATTTCATGTATAGAGAATTGTGAATATGACTGCAGAAAACAAAGGTATGTGCGGTTGGTAATTTGAGAACGGGAATTGGAGTTCTTCTGGGTTCTGACAGTAACAGCTAACAGCATATAAAATTTCAGATATGCAAACGAGTTTCTGATTCATAATCGATTTTCTTTTGACCCCAAAATCAACATGTCGAGCAGCTTAACCATTACGCAATTTAGGCTACATTTTGTGCAGCATTGCCAATATCTACATAATATTATATTTAGATGCAAAAAATTTTCTACTTCCGTAATCATTAACTTTCACTTGCTAATCAGCCCACAACACGTTTCTAACGAATGATTTGATCTCCTTCAGATATGCCTAGATGTGAGGGTCAAAAGGAGAATTGAGTATTATTTTACACTTTTACACTTTATCGCACTTCCAATAAAATTCCAATTTTCACATTTTAGAGATTCGACGAAAGAATATTACCCTGTCTGATGCATCACTCTTCTGATGTTCTTCATAACCGATTCAATCTCCGAAAGAACATCTTGTTCCTCAGCCGTGAACGAATCTAGCCGCTGCCCCATCGCAGTTAAAGTCGCCAGCACATTAGGATCATCATTCGGGCGAGGCCTCCTGTTCTTCCATTCTCCATCATTCTTATTATTATTAAACTGACCCCCCCTACCTTGAGAGCCATCTCCAAACCTTCCCCCTCGGCCCCACCCACGGCCCCTACCCCGACCTCGGCCCCTACCCCACTGAGGCCGCGCATCTCTGTCTCCATCAGCATCAGCTTTCGACGAACCCCAGCCGCCAGCTGTCGAGTCATTTGGTTGCGGGCTCGAACCCCAAGTATTGCTGGGAGCCTCTTTCGTCGGGGACTGTTTATCAAACTTAGCCCAATCATTAGAAGATCCCCAGTTTCCAGAAGGTTTTGAATCGGGAGTGTTATCAGCCACCGGTTTAGCTCCCCACTGAATTCCCTTAGGAGATTCCACACGGGGTGCCCAAGCAGAGGCATCCTGCTGAGGTGTCTCTTTCTCAACTACAGGAGGTAATGACCATGAGCCACCGCCATCTTGAGATCCAGCGGATAAGAATTTATCTGTTTTTGCATCATCTTTGCCCTTTCCCCAAGTGGAATTATTATCAGTCTTGGGTGTACTCACTTGGCCCCAACTATTCTGTTCATTCGTTTTAGTCCAACCAGCACCTGCACCAAGTTCATCAGCCTCAGACATTTTGCTTTCCTTCTGACCCCACTCTTTCCCACCGGAAGTCACGCCCCAGCTGGATTGACTTTGAGGCATGTTGTGGTCTTCTTTCTTAGCCCAATTTCCTCCAGCAGAGTCGGCCTTTTTGGAGTTAGACTTCTGTCCCCATGTACTTTCCTCGGGTTTTTTCCCCCAACCTCCACTATAAGTTTCACCAGCATTAGCCAGTGTTCCTTGGTCATCTTTCTGACCCCAATCTTTTCCAGCAGCAGAAGGCGGAGCCCAGCTGGACTGACTACGAGGCTCTATTGAACTTGCTCCACCCCACTTGTTCTGTTCGTCATTCTTAGCCCAACCTCGTCCATCAAAATCAGCCTTTTTCGCCAAGGCTACGCCATTTTTGGACTGCTTATCCGTGGTGTTCCAATCACTTACACTGGAATCAGCTTTTCTGCCCCACGTGCTTTGCTCGGGATTTTTCTTCCAACCATCTCCTTCAGAATCCACTTTTTTACCCCAAGAGGTATTTTGGGTATCTTCATCCTGAGTGCTTTTTTCACCCATTTGTTCACTTTCAAAATTTACCTTTGCGCCCCAAGTGCTTTCCTCCGTCTTTTTTCCCCAACTTCCTCCACCGGAATCCGTCTTTCTTCCCCAAACTGAGTCATCTTGAGTTTCCTCAGAAATAACATTTTTACCCCAAGCGCTTTGCTCGGGCTTTTTACCCCAACCATCTTCTTGAGACTCAACCATTTTGGTCAACGATAACCAACTATCCTGAGATGCCTACAGAGAAGAGCCAATTGTTAAAACACTGATTAAAAAAAGAGAGAGAGAGAGAGAGAGAGAGAGAGAGAGAGAGAGAGAGAGAGATATTCAGTGAATTTACAGAGAATGGCCACTAGGCCTACATATGAGAGAGATCCCCAATATTCTAACGTTATTATTTGGATTAGAAAGAGGTTAAACAACCATAGAAAGAATCAGTGGACCAAAGAACTCCAACCAAATCACAGCAAAACCAAATCATAAAACAATAGCATAAAGATGCCAAAGAAGATACTTTCATAGTTATCACTGCCCCTCAAATTCAACAATGCAGTACTCAATTCAAACCTCTACTTAATACAGCAACATGAATGTGCAACATGCACTAAAACTCAGCGATTGAGGCAATGACAGAGAACTCACAGACTGAAAACAAACAATCATAACCAGATCCAGATGGAAAAGCAAAACAGATATCCCATGATGGAAATGGGTACTATACATACATGTGAACTGAGAATTTATGGGTAACACTAATCAAATGAATTCATTTCACCGGGATGACAATTAGATACCGTATTAAAACCTTTAAATTCAAGATATTTCTTACATCTTTGGAAAACCCATCTCTATCATCTCCATTGGGTCCTAGTTCAAACCCATCTTCAAAAGTGGGCTTATCTAGACCGTCTTCTCTCACTGGGGACAGCTCAGATTCCATATAGTCCTGGTCTAGATCTTCAATTTCCTCTCCCAAGCAACTAGTGCCTATATCTTCAGGATTTGATCTGCTATTTACCAAGTGCAGGAAATTGTACGCATCAATTTCCTTGTTTGGCTCCAACTCAGCCTAAGAAAACAATTAAAACATGAGTCTCGCGGCATGTTTTTTTCTGGAATGTATTAAAGAAAATATTGCTGCCACATATACCTTTCTAGTGTCCCAAAGAATCTCAAAAGGAGAACCAGTGCCCACGGTCACATGTTTGCCCCAAGCACAAGAAGCCACTATGCTTGACAAGTTATCAACATGGCGTTTCTCAGCAGCTCTCTCAAAGCATTTTCTAGGGGTCTGAAAAGAAAATGAAACAATCATTATTATGATAGTTGATTGAAAGAGGAAACTGTATACAATACATTTTAATACGGAATACAACCATAAAACTACTTACAAATAACGTCGCGTTCATGAATGGTACTTGAACATCAAGTGATCTAGACAAGGTTTTAATTCCACCAGTATTAAAGCCAATGAAAGTGCCAGCACATGTCATGCTATTTGCCAACAGAAGGAGATGATCTTTGAGCACACCCTTTGTAACCATCGTAACCGATGTAGATAAACGCTATGTAACAACACATATGTTAGTCAAAAATTAAAAGGTCATTTAATTTATTAATTAACATGAAATACAAAAACAATTTATGTACCATGTACTCAGCAAGGCATTAAATAATACCAAGATTCTGATAACGCTACAATTGGAACATAAAATGATCATAGAAAAATAGAAAAAATCAAGGTAGGAACATTTCATAAAAAACATTAATTGCAATGAAACATGGTCAACCCTTCCTTTAGCTACTCAGATGTTTCAGTTCGCTAAGTTTGAAAAGTCCAAAGAGCGCAGACTAGCCACGGAGCTTGGATACGGTTTCCCGATCGGAGATAATCTGACTTATTCAGTCTTAGTGTTAAGCAAATGAAACCTATTAAAGAACCTATAGGGAAGTGAGGGAGTCTCGGGTGGTTTGGTCTCTTAGTAGCAGTTCTTATGGTTCCTGAGGATAGCGGGAGCTGGTGGTTGATGATGGCGGAAGCAGGCGATTCGGGCGAAAATATATGATAGCCTCTACCGGTTCTACTCCCTTGATGGTATGCTTCTCAAGTAGGGAAGTAGGTTTGGTTGCTTGGTGAACCCAATGTTTTGGATTTTACACAAACAAATGCTATATTTCAGTGATTTAGGACAAACATGACTTAAAAGTGTGGGCACATTTAAATGTTATATTTCAGACTACATAAACAATACATACAATGTGAGGAGTCAGAAACAAATGTGTTGACTACATTTTCAGCATGTTCCTAGCGCACTTAGCTTCTATTTCCTGGTTTTAATATATCCAGTACCCTCTTGCCTGGATAAATTTCTTTATGACGACTATGTCATTTATCCACGTCACAAACAATAGAAAAACATAATTAACAAAGAAATAGCTCTTCCAAAAGTATTTAATGACTGGCAACTTCAATTAAATGCAAAATCAATTGACAAATGATATAAAAAACCCTAGGTGCCTCCAGTTAACCTGGAAGAAACAAGGGTGAGCTTAGACTGCTGGACTGCAATTCCAAATTTAACATGCAATTATTACTGGAAGGTGGCCAGATTACCATTAAGCCTAATAAATCATCAATCTCAAATCTACAATACTTCAAATGTAATTTACATCAGATGATCGAGAGTTCTAATTTAACACTGCAACTTGCTGGCATCATTTCTTCGCAACTATCCATGTACTCGTCGCATCACAACTCAGAGAGAAGGTTTTAGATGAGCGATGCCCTTTTATAAAAAAAATCAGATTTTACTTTGTTCAGCTACAAACATGAGAACCACAGGATCAAGACATGCAGTGTGTGTTGAGTGATCTAAGTCTTTCTTTTGCTGTTACATTGCATAAAATGTATACTAAATGATAATGCCATGTATGTTTGTAAATGTTCTAACAATGCAATGCATAAAAAGTTGCATTTAGAAAAAGACAGCTGGCATTGACACACGAGCATATCAGGGAGAGGGAAGGTCTGAGCTCAAATCAAGTACCAATTGCAGTTACTACACAATATCAGGATAGACGGGTGATACCTGAACAGCCTGCTCAAATGCACAAGAAATACCAAGCAGTTCCTGTACTTGCTTTATTGCACATGGTACCGAACGTCGTGTATCAATTAAATGCATAATCGGAAGGCACGAATCCATAAGGACCCTCCAAGCATCTCCAATCTTTTTAACAGCATCTTTCTCCAGGATAACATCAAGAGCCAATTCACCCTTTTCCCTCTTAGTTGGGCTCCGGGTCCAGGACGCAGTGTCGGAGCTTAACCAAACAACATTTGCGCTTGAAATCCTTTGATCACCTGTACAAATGTCCACATGTATGCATCACACAAATACATCATTAGAAGAAGCCTTTTAGACCCAGTGTAGTTGCTTTCATTACTCATTTTCACAACATAAAAGAAAGGGAAGGAAAGAAATATTAATACAGATAATTGAAGCATTGCACAAGCTCAGTTTAGAACCCCACTAAAGATACAAATATAGAGCTTGTTGGGAAACGCTTCTCAAATAAACTTTTGGATCCAAAAGTCCATTTGGATAAATATTCATGTTTGGCGTCAAATTAAGAATGGACTTATGGATAAGTTGTTTCTCCAAAAAGTCCATTCTGTAGAAGTAAAGGGCGTAGACTTTTGAAGAAGTCCATTTTGAACAAGTCCATTTCTTAAATAGACTTTTTCAAAAGTTTTCCCAAACAAGCACATACTAACAAAAGGAGGGAGGAAGCCACCTTTAATGATTGTATCAAACAGAACCGGGATAACCACATCAGCAAGTAACTGAGAGGCCTTATCTACATCATATTTTGCCTCGCGCCAGCGGAACTGGATGCATGGAGCATCAGTCCATTTGCTTTTGGATGATTGGCAAAAAGAACAGCATTCACTGCAAAGGAGAGTATCTTATAAGAAATAAAGTCATAGTGAAACAGAAGACGTTAATTGAATAAGCTAGTATGAATTTAACCAACCCTTACGGGGAAAAAAACAAAAAAATAAATTATAGCTGAACAAAAAGTTGATTGTTCAACGCTGCACCTTAAACTGAATTTCGATATACATGCTAAAAATTCAAGTCAATGTCTTTTCCAATATATGGATAAGAATTAGATACAGACTACCCAGTTTAAAGGCACTTGAGATCCAACATCCTAATCTACACTGTGAGCAATATGTTATTTCCAACCTTGGCACAAGAAATAATAGTATTAATAATGACGACGGCGATGATGAGCTAGCAGATATTTGAAAAGACAGAAGATCATGACCAAGGTAAGATCTTTCTCAAATCATGCTGAAAGAATAAGCTCCATTCTTGGTGCTAATGGCCATGCCAAAATTTCTAGAAGGTTTCTTTTTAATGGTTGGAAAGTCAAATTGCAATACATGAAATAAACAATGACATAACCAAGAAGAAAGGCTATTAAAACAAAACTTATATGTAAGTTGTAACAACCAAACCTACCTGAAAGATAGATCCATATTCTGGAACAATGCCCCAACTTTTTTCTTCTTTTGGTGTAAACTGATTGTGTCTTCACATTTTTCAAATATTTCATGCATGCCCAAATTTGATTGTACTAGCTGTGTCTGTTCAATAAACCAATCAAAACATCGAAAAACATTATCCACAAAGTTCTGACGAAACAGTAGAAAATTAATAAATCTATTCAGCTTTACTTAAAAAAGGAAAAAATAAATGAAAAATCACACCTTGTTCAGATGAATGTGGCCAACAGGGCCAGGATTGACCTCAGGAATCTCGTGCATCATTTCAGATCTATATCTGTAAAATGAAAGTGAATATAGTGAATTCAAATATTTTAGAAACTTTTCGGCTTTCCCCAATGCGCAATTTTTGTTGTTTGGAGCTACCATTTATATGATCAATTAGGCGAAAAAATATCGATTAAGTAAAATAATATAACGCTAGTAGTGCAAAAATTGTGATAAAATTAAAACGTAGTCTAAATGCTGAAGAATCAATCTCATAGTTAAGGTGCGCCCAGCCACTAATAAACCAAATTATACACAACCAGCTCACGGTTCAGAAACTCAATCCAAAAGTGTAAAAAGATGAACCTTCACTCCCCGAGTCAACCAAGTAAACTTGGATACTTAAAGAGGGATGAAAGACAATTAACTTTTTTCAGATCCATTCTCTTTAGTCTTTACCAAATATGAACACTCTGCATTCATCGATAAAGTTATGAACATATAGCTGCAAAATCCCTACTTGGCAATTTCCCTTTGGCTTGAGAGTAGCCAGAAATTAGAAAACAGAACCTAGTTATAGCTTTCACTGCCAGGATAGGAATCATTAGCACGACGTGTAAACTTGTTACATTTCATGCCATAATACTTAGCCTCCAAGAAAAATCTAGTTAATCGTGATGCACAGACGGGATGAAATAAAAAGTTTTGGACTGTGCCAATTTACACCATTAATGGAGGATATAAATGCAATCAAGGAGAGATTTACTCTATCAGGAGCTCAATCGCCGTATCCTTTAGACTGACTTTCTTCAAATGATTCTTGACTATAAGTGCAGCACTTTCTTGACAATGTTTTCTGCCACAATCACAATTATTTAGATACAACATTACTCGACGGTCAGAAATATCATTCTTGAAGTTGACCCCACAAAGCAATATCTCCTGCGTTCAAAAAGGTGGATTTATGAGAAAACTTTGTTATATTGAACTCAAAAAAGACAGGTTATATCTACACAAATGTTAACTACCTTCATCATCTCCCAGGATGAATTGCTACTAGCAGACGAGTCCAAAACAGCCTTGTATGCAGGATTAGACATGGCAGTTGCAGCTAAAACTCCAACAGGATCACCCGCACAAAACTCGCTGGCAATGTTTGCACTGTTGACTCCATATTCGAATTGAATGATGGAATTGCTACATGTATTTCTCACAGTACCATCATAGCATATAACAACATCTCTAAGAATGGCCATCAAATTTTTGAATAATGTCCCGGGTTCAGTTAATCCACGGCTTGAGCGGACAATTACTTCTCTACTTGATATTGAATGAACCATTTCCTGATACGGATCCAACCCTCGGAAGAGGTTTCTACCAACCAAGCCAAATTCTTCAGCAGGATAATCATCAAAGGACGGATACTTCTTTTGGAAAAGGGACGACATCTCCTTCACCAAAATCTCGGAATAGAACTTCCCTTTATGTGATAATTGGGTCCCTAAGAACCCAATTTGCTGGACAACCTTGTTGAGAGCAGATTCACTTTTGGAATCTATCAGGTGTCCAATTCTAGAAGACTTGACTATGAAATTGGTAGCCGGAATTTTCACGCTGCGCAAGTAACTGTCCAACTGCAAAGCAACTGATTCACTATAACAAGAACGCAGATGATACAGCAATGGAGAAATCTTTTGAATATTTTCTTGGATACTCTCCAAAACATCTCGGGGTAAATAAAAGTCTCTCAAACTGACACTGAAGCCTTCTGAGTAAAGACTTTCCATCAACAAAGGCTGTACAGAATCAAAGAACCTCAGAACCTCCCTCGGGCCCTTCAAAAAGAAAAGTGAGGTGACTAAGTCATTGGTAATGGGCGTCATCACGTCCCTATTAAAATCAAGGGTTAACACCTCACTATTGGAAATTCTGTGTCTCTCTCCAGAACAATCGAAAGAAGGAGGCAGCGTCATCTGCAAAATTTGTGATGCAGTCCAAAGAGGGCCACTGCCAGACTTTACCACGGAAGGTTTGGATAGGACACTGGGAACAAACATTGCCAACTGCTGGGCAGCAACTCGGCTCAAGAAACACTTTCTGAAAAGGACTTTAAGTGACAGAAGTGAGTCAACTCCCAACTGCAAAATGAAGTTCCCAGTGTGAGAGCTCAGTAGCTGTTTTTCCACAGAGAAAAGCTCCACAACCTCTGCTTTAGCTTCCAGAGACTGAGGATAGAACAGATGGATACAATCCCCGTCGAAGTCCGCGCTGAGAGGACCACAAATTAATGGATTAATCTTAACCGTGTGGTCCTCATGAACATATACTGAGAGCGCCTGTAGGGAATGTTTGTGGGTAGTTGGTGGTCTATTGATAAACACTATATCCCCATCCATTATTCTACGATGCACAACTTGCCCTGGTCTCAGAAATGTATGTCCCTTCGACCCTTCCCTTAGTGAATACGTTGACATTCCATCCCTGTATGCCAGACACATATTTTTGTCCACCAGCTTCTGTAAAAACTCCATGTTGTGCTGGTTTACACGCTCTTCAAATGTAATCTTTTGTGCGATTTCAAATGGCAATCCAATTTCAGAGACCCCTTTAAACGGATCGCCAGTTATCACACTGCGAGAAGAAAATCCTGATCCCTTTCGAATAAATAAAGTTTTCATCTTCTCCAGCCATGCTTTGGTAGATGACACATTCTCTTCTTTTTTAACTCCAAAGCGAGTGTCCACATCACGGGATGCCTAATAAACAATTTGTAAGAGAAATATACATTAGGAAAAGGAACCATTAGCATTACAACGCACTGTATGAACCAAGAGGTCACAAAGTCATGAAAGCTAGTTCCTTAAGGCGTAATTATACTTTGTTTCACACACTTCTCACAAAACAAAGAACTTAGTCATGATGCAGAAAGCTTAGGATCCTGATTGGTTATAAATTATCTGGTTAGATTATTTTTTTACTCAAAATCTAACTCAAATTTAACTCAACCCAACCTTCCTCAATATTATCAATACAATTAAATAATACCAATCAAGCATCCTCACACATCACATCAACTTTAGATCACTATTCATCCACTAGTATAATTTTACTACCCATCACTTTCAATCACCTCGCTCACACTTTTACATCAAATCAACTTTAATCATTATGTTTTAGATATTATTTTAATGCAAACTCAAAATCCCACTCAAACATAACTCACTCGTTTTTTTCAAAATTAACTATGGTTATTCAACAAATCCAATCAAAGACAAAATAACTTATATCCAATCACCCCCTAACAAAGGAAACATGCTGATTAGCAAGAACAGGCGTGCCAAAAGAAAATTTGATACCCACGAGGATATTTTGTACATGCACTAACCACATCTATGCAACCACATCCAAGAACTCTTAAATTAGATAGAGAGCATGCTAACTGTAAAAAATTTGAGGCAGACAAAAATAGAAAAGAAAAACCTCCTGTATCTCCCATTGGAAAACAAATGCAGTACACAAAAAGCCAAAAGTACCTTGCCGGTGCCCCTAAATTGAAGATATTGTGTCACAGCAGCTTGTAACTCATTCGATTCAATCTGCTGAGATTCGAAATTTGGTGTTCCTGACCTTGAAGTTTTTATAATTTCCACCACTCTCAGCACCTTTTTCAGCAACGCGATGGAATAATCCTGGACATTAATAAGATCATGAAAATTAGCCAGCCGAAGGATAAGGCAGGACAAAACAGAAAGAAAACAATTTGGTCAAAATATCTCACCGTGGACATAGTACTGATTCCATCTGAAATATCAGGCACTGATAAACAATTTGGAGGGACTGGTAGGTATTGGATTATGTACCCTTCTTGAGGGAAATAACCTTTTGCAGTTAGCTTTTTTCTGGTGTCATTGGGAATTTTTTTCAATATAGCCATCACCTTTACCGAGGTCATGAAAAGGAAACAAAATTAGCTCGTTCCACCACGATTTTGCATAATGAGAAAGTTATAGATAACAAGGCATGACTAGATACAAAATACTTTTGTTAATGTTAAGGGGTCCAAAAAAGGTCAGGTCAAATCATTTTCTGCATTAGTCATGAAGTCTGGAAGAACTCTCCAAGCCAAGGATACGAAAAGACACACAAGGAGACAGAAGAAAAGCTTGCTGAACAAGACTGTAAATATGAGTAAGATTACAGTAAACAGTGCACTTAATGAACTTCACTCAGGAACTAGAATTCGTTAAAGCTTCCATCATCTTAATGTCAGTTGTTCAGCACTATATTCCAAAACAGCAACGCATACCCAGTACCCACAATGATATAACTACTATGATTTTCACAATGAACATTTTAATGAAATGTAAACATTAGGAAACTAGCTCAAAGATACAATTGATACAAAGAAGTGGTGACATTATAAAACTTATTCAAATCAGATGAGTTCCATTCTAGGACAACAAAATCAAAGCATCAACCAAATAAAACATTGCAAGCAGAACCTCAGAAGGAAGAAGTGGCCGAGAATGCATTTGCGTATTTCCGTAACGGAATCCATATTTTTCCAAGAAGCTCCAGAATCCTCCATCAAGTGTTGATCTTGCCGGTACTTTCAATTCCAAATAGCAGGCCCCGTCAGTAGTCTTGTTTTCATTGATTGAGACTTGTGAAATCTCCTGCAGATACGTGAAAGCTTGAAGCATACTATTACTTTTCTCCAAGAAGGTTTTTAGGCATTTGTTTCTAAGAGGTGCATTTCACATGTTAAGCTTAACTGCATTATTAGATCTTTAAGCCTAAACCAAGGCTTAAAACAAAAAAAAAAACAATACCATGTCCTCCATATTCAAGGATTAAAACTATAACTGCCCATTTTAACAAAGTTCCCCAAATGAAGACAGAATAATGGTTAAAGATTGGTCTCAAGTGAGGAACATGAGTTCACACTTGCAGACAAACTAAAACATACCTTGACAAGTTTCCAGTAAATGACAACCGTATTCAGAGGCATAGAATGCTCAAAGAGCAAGAAGCAAAGCAAACAACAGACAAAGCAAACAACAGACAGGGAATGTAGGTTATAACAGAGTACATATGATGTGGACAATGTCAAATACCTACATAGAAAGGTTTCATTGAACAGCACATGGATAACATTCACAGAAAATATTATTAGGATCACCAGCGTGAATGAATGAGAAAATGCTACAACGTGTTATTCAGAAGTTGTCTAAACTTCAACTGCACATAATATTTTGAGTTACATCAACTGGAAAAATTTGCGGAATTAACTGATTCCATGATTGAATCTCTAAAGTAGTTTAAAGTCAGAAATGTGTCGGTACATTTTTCACACAGACGAAGAAAGTCAAATTTTTCAAAAAGTCTACCTGCACTTGGAAAGGGAAATAAGGACCAACAAGCAGACAGCAAAAAGAAGAATGACTATATTGAAGAAAGACTTGGGGGATGCCAGAAGATAAGTAAAGCTATTTATACACTCCATTTAGAGCTCATGATTGCCTAATGGAGCCTGACTGCAAGAGATATTCAAGATTAACATAAATGATTGTGAGTACTTCATACAAACCACAAGAGTGTCTTATCTCTAGTGAGATTCATATAGAAAAAACGAAATGCGGACAAAATTCACAGGCAAAAATCTGAGTTTGGTTTCAGGAAGGCAAAAAGGCTAGGGAGAAACAAATTGCATTGTCACACATATATAGGTCTTGCATGAGCTCCGATTTCCCAAATTGGTTGATGATTTCTAAATCAAAACTGCATAATAATCGGAACAGAAAAACTAAACATTCCGAGAACTAAAACAGTTAACAGTTGGTAATAGGCCAAAGAAAAAATATGTGTATATGAATGCATAAATGGATATACAAAGATAATAAAAAAATTACCGGACAGCACGAGGTTGCTATTTCCCCAAAACCACCACCACTACTGTTCACCTGAAATGGAAGGTAACGATCATAAACTGGTCATAGAGTATAAACAGATGATAGAAGTAAGCTAGTCATATTCTCAATGGAATTATTGCTACGAAGGGGCACAAAAATATTTAAGCATCTAGAAGTGCTATCAAAACTTAACTCTACTTGTCTAAGCAAAAATAATCATTTAACTTGTCTATTAACACAGAAGATGATATGGAATCTAAAATCTTAAGCGTCAAAAACAA